CCCTCCACCAAGAAATGCTCCCTCTGCTCTGCACCTTTCTTTCCCGGCCCCCTGCGGCCTGAGGATCAGGCCTCCGCATCAGCTCCCCAGCGGGGGCCTTTCCTGGCTAGCTCCCACTCTGCCCACTTTGGAAGCCTCAGAAACTTCACTCTGTTGGAGCACCATGACCTGGTGTTCCAGATTTAGACAATGGAAACATACACAAGACAGCTATATGAAAACTTGGATTATTAACTGTGGTAGTCCCATAATCTGGTGTCAATTTGGGACTTGAGAGGATTAAGAGTGAAGGGGTGGTGTGGCCTTCTCCTGAGAATTCTGGGAATTCCTGATTTTCCTCCTTGGAGGTGGGAGACACTTTTTCAATCTCTGCTCATTTCCTGCAAGACATCCCTGAGGAGAAGCTACATGGACCTACCCTGATGCAGCCCTGGGAACTGGAGGAGCCGTGTGGAGACCCCTGCCAGCGCTGAGATGCTTACAACACCACTGGATCCAAAGATTTTTTACCCACTGGCATGTGATCATCCTGTATTCGATGTCAATCCATGTCTTTTGTGAGGCTGAAGAGGACTTTATAGATTGGCATCAGACATATGGCTGACTTATGGGCTTGATCTGGACTAGGCTGGGACATTTTCTCAATAGTCAATTGCTTTTGTATATAAACCTCTTTCTTATATACATAGGAGTGTCTATGAATTATTTGCTTCTCTAGTCTACCCGGACTAACACATTAACTCAAATGAGAAATGCTAGCATTAAGTATCAGAAACCCAGGTGTGGGGGCCAACACCTGTTTATCCTAGAAGGCAAGTCTACCTATGAAGCCAAACAGCTTGTGAGTACAGGCTCAGACAAAAGGCATTACCTGGCTCAATTTGCTAAACTAGGTATGGTAGCTGTGAAAGTTGGACATTGAATAAGGAAGGGAGATCGAAGAAGAATTCATGCCTTTGGATCATGGTGCTGGCAAAGAATGTCAAAAGTACCATGAATGGAAAAAGAACACACAAACTGTCTCGGAAGAAGTACGGCCAGGATGCTTCTTAGAGACGATGATGACAGGACTGCATCTCATGCACTGTGGACGTGTTGTCAGGAGAGACCAGTCCCTGGAGAAGGACATCATGCTTGGTAGAGGAGAGGGGCAGCGACAAAGAGGAAGACCCTCAGCCAGCTGGCTGCAACAACAGGCTCCGACATGGGAACCTTGGTGAGGATGGTGTAGGACCAGGCAGTGTTTCATCGCTGTCCTCAGGGCCGCTCGGAGTCAGAAGCTGCACCTCACAGTAACAGCAGCAGCAGCCTGGTGCAGTGGGCTATGAACGGGGCTGCTGACCGCCAACTGGCCACTGGAACCCGCCAGCCCCCCTGTGGGACGAAGATGTACACACGAGGGGCGGTTCTACCCTGTCCTGTAGGGTCCTGAGTGGGAATCAACTTGATGGTAATGAGTTGGTTTTTTGCTTTTAAGTGGGACCCAGGTGAACCTGTTCTACCACAAGAATCTTTCTTGACGTCTGGTCTCAGGCCATCCCTGCTGTACTGCAGGCCTCCTGCCTAGGTTTGTCTCATCTCCTGAGCGTCAGATTGATATAAGCTTGCTTTAGGTACGTCAGCACCACACAGGTTAAGGACAAGGTTAATGTCAGGCTTGGATAGAATCTCTCGTAGGAGACTTTGCATCTCTGCTTTTTTTTTAGAAAAATTGGTTTATTAGCACTTCATCCACTTCACCCATCCAATACAATTTTAAAGGTCAACCACATCAATTTTAGAACGTGTTCTGTTTCACCCCGTACTCATTGTTATTCATGTTATCTTTTTCAACTTTGACAAAAATATGCACAACCAAACATTGGCCAATTCAACAACTTCTACATGTACAATTCAGTGCATTGATTAGACTCTTCATGCTGCACAATCATTATTGTTAACCCTCTCCAAATTGTTCCACCATCATTAAAATGAACTCATTGCCCCCTAAGCAACAACTCTTCTTTTTTCACCGATGGTAACTGGGATACAAAAGACTTTTCCCCAGCTTTGTCTCCCCTAAAGATATGCCAAACATTAGAGGCTGTTTGCCAGCACATGGTGGGGGGTCAGATGCTTAGAGATATTCTCTCTGAAGGCATTCACCCATCAGTCTGGTCCACTGTGGGTGGGGCTCACACCCTACTGATAAGGATAGTCATTGCTTCCATGGAAAGTCAGAGAACAGGTCAAACCTGCTCAGTGACATCCAAAGCTAGGCTGCCATCCTGTATCTAGGATCCGCCCATCTTGTCACTTGTGTACCGCCAATCCCCCCCCCTTCCTATTGCGTGTATACCCCTAGATCTTCCCGCTCTCCTTACTGTGTTACCTATAGTACAACCCCTTCCTGTGATGTATGTCTTTACCTGTAATTAGCAGGCATGCACACCCCCAAAGGTATATAAGCCTTGGTTAGAAACAAAGAGCTCTCTCTCATCCTCTCACCCCAGTCCTCGCTCCCCTGTCCCCTATCCCCTTGTGGTCCTTACCCTCCCTGCCCTCTCCTGCTCTCTCTCCTGCCCTGGACCACCAAGAGGAGCTGAGGTGAGCATGCTTCCATGAAATGTGTTTGACTCCATTATTTTACTTTCTCCCCTATCTCTCATATTCTCTATGACTTTACTATGATCTTCACTTATTATCGCCATACAATTGCACCTACTGGGTCTTGATGATTTGTCAGGGGCTGGCTCCCCTGACAGGGAACCATAAGTGAAGTTGGTTTCTTTCTTTCTTTTTTAGGTTTCTTGATATACTCTTCAAATATCATACACTTCCATAGTTGAACTGCTTCTAAAAAAGAGCTTTATATACATCACAAAATCAGCTCCAATGCTCCCTCCCCACGCCAGTATCCACTGATCACTTCCCAATTCCCCTCCCCTTCCCCCTCCTCCCTCCCCCCTCTCCCTTCCCAATAAACCATTGCATCGTTTATTATCTCTATACTCCACCGCTTGTGTTTCCTAGATGGGGAGATCTAACAGAAACAATAAAAAACAGAAAGAAGAAAACAACAATAATAATATAAAGATACAAATAAAGAGTATGAAAGAAAAAACCCAAATGAGGATGGCAACATTGGTACAAATATGCTTGATACAATTGATGCATGGAATGCTATAAGATCCGTAAGAGCCCCCAATAAAATGATTAAAAAGCAAAAAAAAGAAAAAACCCACCAACAATATTTAAAAAGCCAGAGAAGAGATTTCTTTCTTGGAACAATCAAGAAATATTTGAGCATAGAACAAGCTTAGGTTGAGTCAAGAGAGAGGTCAACTGACCCAGTATTGTATCAGACCATGGTTTGAGTCAACATAATCAAGTTTACAATAATCTCTGTCTGCTAGTACAACTGTGTCAGTCCCTCTCCTGTGACTAGAGGGATCTGCCAGGGGCCCCCTCGGAGCAGACACTGCAGATGGGTTTTGGGTTCCCACCATCCTCCATAGCCCTCAACAAATTGGGTGTTCACAATGGAAGCTCTGACACATTTCCCTTCATCATATTTGGATTTGTTTTGTCGTCTTTGGATCACACATGCTGTGTGCTTCTTCCGTGTGGACTTAGTGGACCATGTTTCTCACATGATCTACTGTGTGCGTCTCCCAGTTTAAGAGTTTGCAAAAGCAGGACTTGGCACTCCCTTCGTTAAAAGTCAATTTACTTAATTTTTTATTGGGGCTTAGAGTCCTTCAGAATCTCTGCTGCTGGCCCTCTTAGCAGATGGAACCGGTCTGTGGTCTCCATGCCACACGCCCTTCTTGTGGCCTGGAGCCTGTCAACGCAGGTGCAAGAAGGTATTCAAACTGTAAAGATTAAAACCTCCTGTTTCGGTGGGGGTGCGGGCAGGAAACATTCATAAGCACAAACCTTGTAGCGTTTTTTAACAATCATGATGGCATTCTTACAGGAGGGAATGCAAGCAGCCCCCTTGGGAATTCCTCAACTCCTGTAGAATGCAGCCTTCCATCCTGACACACTTCAAGCCAATCGGTTGTGATGGGAACGTGCAAAACAGCCCGTGTAACTCCTACAGGTCCCGCGTCTGAAGTCTTCAGCATAAGAAGCTTGGACTCTCTCAGTGTGCTTTGTCTCTTCTCCCTCCGACCAGCGGGAACTTGTAAGTACCAAGGACTCTGGTAAGTTTATTTTCTTACAATGATAAGTAGAGAGGTTTTGTTTTGAGAGAGGGCATCCCATGGAAGGGGGGTGGGCAAGGATCTCCACTGTGGTCTTTTGTGGCCTGTTTTATACCTCATTCTTGAAACTTGAAGTAAATTTCCATTCTTATCATTGTCTTATCAATTTCTTGTCATCTTATAATTTTCTTATCAATTTTATCTTATCACCATATCAATTTCAAATGTATTCACATGGGCAGAGGTGCTTCAGGTGGCAGAGACAATCGTAGTATGGCATTCTCAGTAGTGGTTTGTCCTTGAGACCTGTCCTCTAAGGCATGTCCATGGCCCCTATGGGGATGCCCAGGTCCTGCCTTGGCATGGGTATTGGGAGCTGGGTCCTAGGGTATTGACATCAACGTATAGAAACAGGCTCGGCATATCTGTAATTGACCTCACTCCATCGGTAATAGACTCCACTCCATTGAGTCTAGGGAACAGTGGATAGGATGCTCAAGATAGACTGAGGACACCGATATCCAAGGATACCCCATATATCAAGGGGATGGATCCATACATATGGAATGTAACAGGGTTTGCTCAAGTATGATTAACACACTTGGCTACCAATGACAAGGGTAGAGGTTCGAATCCAGCCAGAGTCTCTTCAGAAGACAGATGTGGCATTGAAAACACAATGGAGCCAGTTCTACTCTGACATCCCTGGTTTTTGCTCCAGGGTTTGTCTGGTTCTAAGTATTAAAGGGGAGTACGTGACCCGTATTTACGCATGTGATGACCAACACAAACGATAGCTCAAAGAGGCACCTGTGACTTTCAAGCAACCCTTACAGGGCACTGTCCTGAGAGTATCATTTATTAGTCTGCGTACATAGAAGCTTGTTCAACAGGCCACAGGAAGAACACAAGGGCTCTCTAAGAAAACCAACAGAGTACTTGAATTAGGACAAGATTAATAACAAGATCAATAACAAAAACAAGATTAATAATTGAGAAAATCTGTGCCACTTACATTACAGAATATACAAGGCCTTTGAAATGTTGTTATTTACACATTGGCGTGAGCACACCATGAGAAGGTGCTAGAACTTCTGAGGATGGACCTCCAGCCACTGTGGTTCCTCCCACTATAGCAGGGACTCCTCCCACCATTCTGGCTCCTCCCACTATAGCAGGGACTCCTCCCATCACTCTGGCTCCTCCTACAGCAGGGATGCCTCCCACTGCTGAGGCTCCTCCCACCACAGCAGGGACTCCTCTCTCCTGTTGTCTTTGGTTGAGCTTGTTATCTGTTTCCCCAACTCTCACATCACACATTCCATAACTAGGGAGATTTCCGTTCAAACACTGACACATCTTCACCCCACCACATACAAGAAAATCCATTAAATGCAAAATCCATAGTTTCCTGAGACCTTTGATTTCAGGGTTTGTAAATTGGAACGCTGTTTATTTTCCTGTGGACCGGAGGCCCTGATCTCCTCTCTCAGATCTCTGTAGCTGCACTCCGTGACTTCTGTTGATCATTCAGCAACCTGCACAAGGTGGGGATGGGAGCGAGGGGGGGGGCTTCAAAATATTGGTGGTGGGCAAAACTCGATGACCTTTTTAGTTTCCTTTCTCCACCAACTTTTTGAAGCCCCATCCATATACCTGGCACTGATGAGGAAAACACCTTCAAGTAGATTCCAACAGTTCCGTTCTCTATACGGAGAGAAACCCAAGTGGAAGGCCGTAAGTCTGACAGTCTGCCTCCATCTTTAGCATGTTTGGAAATAGAATTCTCTGGGATGGACAAAACCTGGCCACACCCGTTGCTGGCCAGTCGATTCCTACACAAATTGGCCCTACAGGAATGTGTAGGATGACCGTGCAGGGTTTCTGAGGCTGTAGATCTTTCCAGAATCAGATTGCCACTCTTTAAATATGGTGTGTCTGATGGGTCAGCAGCTGACGGCACCACCAAGGCTCCTAGAGCTGATACTTTTAAAATAATAACAATTATGAAAGTCTGATAGATTTTGGTGGTTCCAATATCAGAGGTGTCTCAGAGAGAATATTGTGAGTGTGCCAAAGACAATGCTTATTTTATGTTTGATTTTGGAAAGAAGTCCTACTTCTGACAACACCCATTTGTGGTATGACCTTAACCTTCGGTCTGCATAACATCTCTAAGACGTTCCCCAATAAACTGAGACGGGCCCAATGGCTACACCACGACAAATGACGTGACGGTCCTTGAATCATACATGTTACAGTCATTGAAACAGCAAATGTGTTGTCACATCTTTCACCATAATAAAACACAGAGCCAAGCATGAGCACAGAAAAGGGGACAGCGGATTCTGACGACTCAGTGTGCTGCATCTGCGGTGAGTCTGAATGTTCTTTAGAGAAGCCACGTGGCTTTTCTAGCTCAAACCAATATTGTCTTGAAACCAATCCCATAAGATAAAAGCAAAACCAAAAACGCCGGGTAAAAAAATTCTTTGCAACTTCCAAGAAAAATGGCCCAACAGAATTGTTTGGGGTGACTACAATTCTTTCTTCCCTCCCGCAGCACTGTCAGCCTAACCGCCCCCCACCACACACACACACTTCATCTGAGTACAAGAATGACCCGCACCCAATGGGCAGCCTTGAGGAGGGAGCCTGCAGCTCCAGGACCTTGAGCAGTGGGCCACGTCTGTAATTGATTGAAAACAACCCAAACTGCTGAGTGGAAAGTTCTGTGTTGACTTTGATTGGGTGACTGGATTCCACTCACTTAAGGCTTAGTTGGTTTGTAGAGCTTAATTTTTAATACTGTTAACACCACCCAGCTGTCCAAACACCAAGACGATCAATACATATCAATCATTAGCTCCAGTCTCCCTTGCGCTCTCTCTGTGGAGCATTTTGACCTTATAAATATGTGACAGCCGTCTCTGTCAGCTCCAACTCGACCCACCCCACTCGGGGTTAGAAGTCCATAGCCAAGGCTGTCCCTGTGTGTCTATCATATGCTTGGGGGTGTCCCCTGGAGTCTAACATCAAAAACAAACAAACAAACAAACAAAACACCAGGCGCACAGCAGGTTAGTGTGACGTAGTTCCTACAAGACAGGCAGTGGGAGAGTGCTCTAACTCATCACTAGGACTCCGGAGGAGTGTTCCTCTTGTAAAGGGTTCTCAGCCATCTTCTTTTTGGCCTCCAGGTAGAAGGAGCGGTTTTTTTCAGGGTAGGTGACTTGGCCGAGGGGCATCCTGTAGATGTTGGGGTTTTTCGTGGTCATCAAAAGGAACACCAGGGTGGCCAAACAGAAGGGCCAGGTACAAGCTGGCAGTCCGACCTGGGGAGGAGCAGAAGCCGCACATCACACTGGATGGAAAGCTAACTCCTGCAAAGCATTTCCCAACTGCGTGGTGTCCCCCAGCACAGAGGAGGAGGCCCTGCTCTGTCCTTGGCTTATGCCACGGAGACCGAATCTCAGATCTCAGGTTTCAGAGCCCATGGCAGCCGGAATGCTTCCATCCTTTCTTCAGGGTGACCAGTTACACCTGTGGATTCTAGGCCTTTCCCTCTCCCTCCCATACACTCAGGCTTCCAGATGATGTGTGCTTCTGAGCCTATGCTGGCCCGGTCTAGTCTCCTGCTTGGAACCCTTGGGGCACGATGGGGTGTAGTTCTAACAAAACACAGAGGTTGGATTGCTACCTGCAAGGTCTGCAGTTTGAAACCTTCCGTCGCTACTAGAGGGAAAGATGAGACTTTCCCAATTTTAGTACCTGTGCTGCTCAAGTGAGCACCGACAATGAGACTTTCTACTCTTGGTCCCTGACCTGGACGGTCCAGATGCGTCAGAACCGACTTCATGGCAGCGACAGAAGCTTTCTGCAAGGAGCCCTGGTGATGCAGTGGATTATCCACTGGGTTGCTAACCACAAGCTCAGCAGTTCGAAAACAGCAGCTACTCCTCGGGAGAAAGGTGAGGCTTTGAGGCTTTCTACTTTCCTAACCCCCCAGGGGCAGTTCTACTCTACCCTACAGGGGTGCTGGGAGGCAGAATCAACTCAATGACAGTGAGTTTGGGTTTTATTTCAGCCCCATAGAATGCTCACTATAATACAAACAGCAAGCGTGGAGGCTAAGGACTGTATTCTTCACAGGCTCTCCATCTGACTCTGCTGGGCAGCCTGCCCCGCTCTGATCATGGACAGATGCTGGGGAGCCTTTGTGGGGGCAGGAGGGTCCCCACATGCTCTAATGGACCTCCTCATCATGCTGGTCTTGGGACTTGGACTTTGAACCCAAAAGATACTGCTCTTCCAAGAACTCTCTAGGCCAGCTGGCCCTTTCACAGGGTTCGCCTGACTCATACCAGTAGCAAAATTACAGTGACGAAGTAGCAACGAAAATAATTTTATGGTTGCGGTGGGGTCACCACAACACGAGGAACTGAATTAAAGGGTCGCGGCATGAGGAAGGTTGAGAACCACTGTTCTAGGCAAAGTCTCTGTGCTGCTGCTGAGATAACAGCGTGAAGCCATGACCACCTCACCGTGGGTTGAATGATCAGAAGTTGGCCCTGGTGATGGTAACAGTGTGTGGGGAAGAGAGAGAACAGTTGGGAACCCCGAGCACTGACCCCGATTGGATAGCCCACCGGGCAGTGGAAGATACTAGAATATGGAGACATTTGGCTTCTGGAGGGGCGGGAGCGGAAGGTCAAACAGGAATAGGACAGTGCCGCAAGGAGGAAAAAACGCATGGCAGAGGCAGTAGCAATGTTGTGCCACTAAATAGTTTAGCCAGGACCTGGGTTTGGATCTGAATCTTTTGATGATTGACCAAGGATTTGAAAAGCCAATCTCAGGCTCCTTGTCACTGAGTTGATTCCAATTCATAGAGACCCAACGGGACAGGGTAGACTGTGGGTTTCTGAGACTGTAACTTCTTTTTGTTAAGTAGTTTATTTTTTAAAGATCATTTTACTGGGGGCTCTTAACAGTTTTTATAACAATCCATACATCGATCTTATCAAGCATATTTGTACATATGTTGCTATCATCATTTTCTGGACATTTACTTTCTGTTTAAGCCCTTGGTATCAGCAACTCCTTTTTCCCTCCCTCCCCGCCTTGTGACCCCTTGGTAAATGATGAATAACTATTATTTTCATATTTTCCACCGACCGTGGTCTCCCTTCCCCCATGGTTTCTGTTGTTCATCCCCCTGGGTGTGTGTGTGTGTGTGTGTGTATGTGTCGATCATTG